GAAAAAAATCGAAAATGATGTTTTTTCAAAAACGGATTTTTAATTTTTCAAAATTTCAAAAAAAAAATTTTTTTGAATTTTTGAATTTTATATTAATTTTAACTTAAAATATACTTAAAACCAAAGAAATCTTTTTTTAAAATCTAAAATCGGTTAATCAGAACCAAAGTTATAGCACTTTAAAAAAAAAGACAAAAATTTTGAAAATGACATATTTTTGGTAATTTTCAAAATTTTGAAAAAATATTTGGTGGAGTTGTTTATCACTATAAAAGTAATAAATTTACAAAAGTACAGCCAAATCCCAAAAAGTCATGAAAATAAGTGTGTTGAGCTGACGTGGAATCCACCAATGTATAATTCAGAGAAGAAAAAAATAATATACTCTACCGGTCAAAATTTAGAGACCACCCATTTTCAGACGAATGAAAAACGTTTTAAAACATAAAATTTATTGAAACTAAAATTTTTTTTTGTTCATTTTTTGAAAGATGATAAAATTTCGAAATGAACAAGATATTTCAGAAGTCGTTTGGCCAATAATTTATTTAGATATTTAAAAATTAAAAATCGTCTTTTTTAATTTTTTTTACAAAAATTTGAATAATTTCTAAAATAATGAACGCTTTTTAATGATCTTAGGCTTATTTTAAAGGTCATTTGCTACACTAAGAATTACTTGTAGGCATTAACGTGTAATTTTTTTCTTAGAAAATGCAGGTCATCAAACTTAGACCAAAAAAATTCAAAAAATTTTGAATAATCTTTCTGTACTAAAAACTATTTTAGAAAATATATAACATATCATACAGTGTAGATTTTTCAAGAAAATTTTATAAAAAAATATTTAAAAATTTTTAAAATTATTTTTCTGTTAATAAGATTGTTTCAAAATTTTTTAAATTATTTTGGTCCAAGTTTGACGGCCTTCATTTTCTAAGAAAAAAATTACACGTTAATGCCTATAAGTAATTATTATAGTGCAGCAAATGACCTTTCAAATAAGTCTAAGATCATTAAAAAGCGTTCATTATTTTAAAAGTTATTCAAATTTTTGTAAGAAAAATTATAAATGACGATTTCTTAAAAATATATAAATAAATTATTGGCCAAACGACTTCTGAAATAGCTTGTTCTTTTCGAAATGTTATCATCTTTCAAAAAATGAATAGAATAAAAAATTTTATGTTTTAAAACGTTTTTCATTCGTCTGAAAATGGATGGTCTCTCAATTTTGACCGGTAATGTATTTTAAATAATATATAATAAATTTAATAAATAATAAAATAAGTATTAATATTAAATAATAAATTAAAAAATATTCTTGCTGAAAAACGTTTGTTATTTTAATAATATTAAAATTCTCTATTAAATTCTTTGACATGATAGAGGGGAGGGGGGGTGTAAGTAAATTATCACATGCTTTTTGAGGGGGGGTTTGTAAATATACCTATCACAACCGGGGGGAGGGGGTCAAAAATCGGAAAAAAATATCACATGCTTTATGGATGGCCCCTTATACAAAAATTATTTTAAGAAATTTAATTTTTTTCGAAAAATTACATTAAAATATTTTTAAAAACTAATTATTAGAATTGTTTGATAATAATTTTTTAAGATTTAATTATCTTCGAATAATGTAAATAAACATTTATGAAAATTTACTTTTTGGACTTTTGGAAAATTATTTAAATTAATTGATTCAGAGATAAAGTTTAGTTAAAAATTGTAGAAAGTATATGAATTTAAAAAGGGTAATAATGGTAATTTTTTGAAATTAGGAAAATTCATAAATAAATAATAATGTAGACACATAAAATTTATAACGAACTTCTCGTTTGATCCGAGAAATCGATCGGTTTAGCGAAATGTTCACTGCAATAGAACGAGCGAACATGACAGCTCGGTTATCAAAACAAAAAGAAAATCGTTTTTTGGTTCGTTTCTCGGATCGTGTCGCTTCGAATGAAACACTTTCAGATCAAAACTCCAAAAAGTTAATTATCCAATTGCGGACAGTTTATCTCAAGATTGACAAATCGGAAACAAAAAATCCAAACTGCTTTTTAAAAAGGAAGGTGTCTTGCATAGAAATCCACCACCATTAATGAAAAATCGACTAAAGTAAAAAAATAGCAGAGGTTTCAATAATTTTATTCTAAATACACCATGTTTTTCACTATTTTTCTAGTCTGCAAAAATGTTTTTTTAAAAAATTTTTTGACTATTTTCTGGTGAATTCACACACAGGAAATGCTAACAAACAAAACGACCTATGATTTATTAAAATCGGTTTAGTAGATTCAGAGATAAAGTGTCCGCCATTTGAGAAAACGTTATTTTGAGAAAAACGAGTTTAAACCTTATATGTATCGTTAGAAAATTACCTAAAATTTTTTTGCAAATTGAAACCCCTCCATTTCTTTTATGTCAGACACTGTTACATACATTAGCACCACTATTTCTGCTGGTCGTAACAAATAGCTGGACCCCACCATCCCCTTCAAACCTCATTTAATTTGTCAATGGCTCTTTATATTTATTGATTACTTTTTGAAAAATTTACTTTTATTATTTACAGTTGGTTACGAATACTTTAGGAGGTGTTTTTTAAAGCCTTAAGGAGTTAAAAAATACAATAAAAAAATAATTTTTTAAAAATTCTGAAGTGCAGTAGTACCTTAAAGCCGAAAAATTCGCACTTATATTAAAAATTCATTTTTTCTTCAAAATTATGTTGCTCTACAATAAAATGTTATTCTTTATTCAAAGCGCACAACTGTGTCTCATTCAAATGGCGCACTATAGGTATACTATACTATTTTAGGTAGATTGATCTCACCGTGTAGAAGAAAGAAGTTTTGAATCAAAGCCGTTTCTAAGTATTGAAATAAAAGCAGACCTTGGAAAAAAGGGGCAAAAAAAGTCGCTTTAGTCGATTAAAAGTACAAAAAAAGTCGAAAAAGTCATTTATTTTATTCAGTGTTAAATTTTATTTTGTATTTCCCAGACCTTTCGCTGATTTTTAAATTAAATTATTCAATATTTGAATAATTTTTTTAACTAAATATTTAAATACTTGTTATTTGTTTATCCACGAGAAGTAAAATTTAAAAAATTTTAATTTAACACCTTCTGAAAATTAATAATTTCTCAAAATTACAACTATAATAATCCTTCCAAAATTTGATTATTTTCTAATTTTTGAATAAACTTCATCTTTAAATCAATTATTTTTAATAATTTTCCGAAAGTTCTTTGAGAATTCAATTATTTAATTACAAAAACTCAGTTTTTAATAATAATTCTATCTGTAACTGCCCAAGTTATTTTTAAGTTATTAAGGTATAATATATTTACAAAAATTTATTATTAAAGAAATTCTTAAAATTAATGTTTTTTAAATATTTGTAAATAACTTTTGAAAGATAATATACACGGAGAGAGAATAAATATTAAATTTTGTAAAAGTATTTTACAAAGTGGGAAAAAAGTGTGACAAAGCGAAATTTTGATGTAAAAAATACTAAATTTTAAAAAAACTTATAATGTGAAATTTAGTATAATTATATTAAATACTCAGATTATTAATTAAATTCTAATATAACTTTACTAAATTTCACATTAGTTTTCTTTAAAAGTTTAGTATTTTTTATATCAAAATTTCGCTTTGTCGCACTTTTTTCCAATTTGTAAAATACTTTTACAAAATTTAATATATATTCTGTTTCCGTGTACTTTTTCAATTATATATTGTACATTTGAAAAATTTCTAAAGAATTGAAGATGGTAAGATTTATTAAAAATACTTCAAAATTTTTATAAAAAAAATTATGGAATTTTTAAAGAATTTTAATTATAGGTAAATATGAATATGATTTCTCTGAAATTTCAATAAGTCTAAAAAAGTGACATTTAAAACATTTTAATTTACTTTGTTCGAAGATAACTGAATCTTAAAAAATTATGATATAAAACAATATAACTAGGAATTAGTTTTTAAAAATATTGTAACATAATTTTTTGAAAATAATTGAATTTCTTAAAATAATTTTTAAAAAAAATTAATAGGTAAAATAACTTTTTACACGAATACATTCGGACAAGTGGTTTTTTAATATAAAAAATGCTCCAACGTTTTGAAATCAATACGATTTCCTCATCAGGGAGTCAATAAAATGTTTTACATTACATGTCAAAATAATTAAAAGATTTTAATCCGAAAATTGGAATGTAGCATTTGGAGTTAGTAACAAGGAAACGTACTCCATTGTTAAAAACAATCAAATAAATAATAAAAATAAAAATAATACACAAAACAAATAAATAAACAATAAAAGAACAAGAATTATCAACAATTTACAATAAGAAAAACCACTGAAAATAATATAAAATAAATGAAACATGTGTAAATTGTGACGTAAATGTGTAAATTTGGACGTAAAAGTTATTTCAATATTAAAAAAAATTAATTTTTTGAAGAATTTTAATTACAAATTTTTAACTAGATTGTTGTCTTCAAAATGTTAAAAATAATTCTATAAAATTTTAATGTTATATTTTTTTTATGTATTTGAATCTTTGGAAATATAGAATTAAAAATAACTATTATCAATTAAATTTTTCAAAATTACAATTATTCAAAAATTTTTGAATTATAGGTATATTTTAAACATTTAATTATCTTAAAAAAAGTATTTAAAAATAATTTTTGAAAGATATATCTATAGTCCTTTTTCACACTACTTATAAGAATGGAAATAAGTTGTATTTCATACTAAAAATATCGTATTTTGTACTATTCGAGGCCTGATATTTTTGATAAAACGTCTATATTCTTGAAAAGATAAATTAAATGTACTTAGAAAATAAGAAATTTGTTGTATTTAGTAATGAAAAATGAATTTGCGTACTATTACAGACAGTAAGATAATTGTAAGTTAATCGTATTAATATTTATACTTTACATTATGTAAATTTTAGGTATTTCAAGAAATTACTTGACTGATGTAAACTTTGTGTAATCTCCATGCTCTTCCTAAAATAAGAACTGTGATATCACTGCCCTTTTCCTCCAAAAACAAGGTCTTGTAAATGTATTGTGCTGTTGTTAACAATTTTCTCCTGCAAATAAGAAACATTTTCCTTATATATTTTTAACTCAATTATTAATTCAATAGCTTGGAGTATTTCTTTTTATTGTTATCATTATTGTACATAAAAATATTTTAAGATAAGTTTTTAAGAATATTCATTGTTTCTAGGGGTTGATTTAATTATCATTAAAATTTTGCATAATGAAAAAATTTTTTAATTCTTGATGTAAATATTTTTAAAAATTATATAAAATATAAATAGATGAAGTAAAAACTTGAAAATTTTACTATTGTAATCTGAAGTAATATTTTTGTAGAAAAAGAATGTTAACTTTAACATTAATTTCAAATAAATATTTTATTGTGTTTTAAAAATGAATTACGTTTTGTTCTAAGCATGTTCTCAGTTAAAGAAATTTAAAAAAATTCATCTCACTTTAAAATGCAAAAATGTAAATTAATTAACTTTTTGAACTTGTTCATATATATGAGTGTGTTCTGCGTATAACATACACATACTTGTGTGTATGGGTTTGTAGGGCATGTGTGTAATGTGGGTAATGTGTTACGAAGGATGGACGAATGTAACGATGTTGTCATCCCAACAAAAAGCGAAAGTATTTTTGTGCCGCGCATCAAGGTGTAAGAGAGAAAAACATTTGTACTTATTGAATGAAAAAATATACACGTAACTCTTTTTCTATTTCTTTTGTAACTGATTTTAATTTATTAAATGTAGAAATTTCTTTAACTGTGCAGAAAATAAGAAATATTATTAAAACATAACAAAATTCGACGTTATTTTATTTCTTGCTAATATATTATAATATGTATAACTTTCACACTTAGGGTCTTATTTCTCAAGTGGATTATTATTAATTATTATTATTTCTTAAGAATATAGAAAAAGATTTTTTTAACTTTCTCAAAATTAATATTTAAAATGTTTACGGTGCTAGTTATGAAAATTATCAATTTGAAAAATATACAAGTTTTCAATATTTTCATTATTTATTGACTTTGATTTTTCATAGAATTTATCTTAATAGATGAATATTAATTTAAAAATAAAAAAAATGTCAAATACCAAATTTCCAAAGTTAAAAAGTAAATAGCAGTGGAATATCATTAAATTTTATAGCCTATAATTTATATTATCAATAAGTAATAAATATATTACACAAGAAAATTGACATAATTGAAAAATAAACAAAATCATCAAATTTTTTAATATTTTAATGCATTAAAAATCCCTGATAAAATTATAGAGAAATTAAGTAAAAATGATTAATATTAATTTTGAAAATACCTTTTTGGTGTTTGCATTGTTCTGTCGATGAAGTCCGATTCTGAATTTAATTCATCTTCTTCAATACATTTTCTTTTTCTGCCTCGATATACGGAATTCACCGCGATATTTGACATATTAAAAATAAATCTACTGGCGTAACCACCCATTTTTTTGCACTACTTTATTTTTAACTTAAAATTTCCAATGATATTGTGTTTAATCGTTTTTCATATCTACTTTCATATAAATTTAATATTATCATTAGAAAGCAATACCTTGCCAAGATAATTTTATATCGTAAAACGCACAAAAAACCACAAAGCACCTTCTTTCTTGAATAGTCTTGATGGAAAGATTCATTCAATCACATTCAAATTTCACTTTTGTATATAGTTAATCGCTGATGATCACATCCCTGATTTAATGGTTTGAACACACAGCAACAGTGAATGTAAACAGACTGAAAGAGTCTTATCGGAAAAAATGCAAACAGCTGTATGTTGTTATTTGTATATGGAACATCAATGTTTACCTAACGACACTAATGCATGTAATCCAAATAATAATAATAAAATAGTCACATATACACACACAAATTCAGACTTAGGCTTCTTTCACTTGTTGACAGAGTTGAGAAACTTTACAAAATTATCGTTCGGAGATTAATCCAGAGATGGGAACGTAACATATATAGGCCTAAGGCTGCGGTTACACCTCTGCAGGTTGTCATGGTAACGTACAAGAGTAAGAGAGTCACTGATTTCAAACTTCTCCCTTACTCTCGTTGCTCCTGCCTGCGCAGGCAGGCAGCCTGCAGAGGTGTAACCGCAGCCTAAGCGAGACGCATGCATATCCCCTAATCGCCAAGTCGTCGAATGATCAAATAGTCGAATGCCAAGTAATCGAATGGACAAAACGTCGAATGCTAAAAACATCGAATCGGCATTTAGTCGAATGCTTAAAACATCGAATTGTCAATACGTCGAATGTTTAAAACGTCGAATTATCAATTCGTCGAATGTTAAAAATATCGAATCGTCAATATGACGAATGTTCAAAACGTCGAATTATCAATTCGTCGAATGTTAAAAACATCGAATTGTCAATACGTCGAATGTTCAAAACGTCGAATGATAAAAACGTCGAATGCAAAAAACATCGAATCGTCATGTAGTCGAATGCTAGAAATATCGAATCTTCAGTTAATCGAATGCTAAAAACATCGAATTCTCAATTCGTCGAATGTTCAAAACGTCGAATGTTTAAAACGTCGAATGCTAAAAACGTCGAATCGTCATTTAGTCGAATGGTAAAACCATCGAATAGTCCATTCGTCGAATGCTTAAATAGTCGAAACGCCATCTGTTCGAATTATCAAGTAGTAGAATGGTAAAGTAGTCGAAACGCCATCTGTTCGAATTGCCAAGTAGTAGAATGGTAAAGTAGTCGAATGTTCAAAACGTCGAATGCTCAGAACATCGAACTGTCAATTCGTCGAATGCTAAAAACATCGAATCGTCAAAAGTTCGAAAAAGTTCTTTGTTTTAAGTTAATGTCTACTGAAGACAAAGAACTTTTTCGAACTTTTGACGATTCGATGTTTTTAGCAGTCGACGTTTTTATCATTCGACGTTTTGAACATTCGACGTATTGACAATTCGATGTTTTTAACATTCGACGTTTTGAACATTCGTCGTATATTGACGATTCGATGTTTTTAACATTCGACGAATTGATAATTCGACGTTTTGAACATTCGACGTATTGACAATTCGAGGCAAAGAGAGGAAACCTGTTTCTACTAATGTCGTTTTAGCTTGTGAAACATAGGAACACGTTCGATGGTTCGATGATGTGATTGTTGCTAAATAAAAAATTTAAAATAAGAAATAAACAAGTTGTTCATTTCATGATCATTAAGCTTCCTGAATATAATATATACCAATCGTTTAATTTTTTATTTTAGAATAATTATTTTAAAGTGTTAAGATAAAATTTCAAAAAATACAAAATTTCAATTTTTTGTGAAAAATTAAAATATTTATTAATTCTATAAATTTGAATAAAATATATACTTTATATACATGAATCAATTCTTTTTTATGTCAGGAATCCAATTTTGCCAAGAATTAATAAAAATTTTAATATAGAAAAAAGTTATTTCAAAAAATCCAAAAATTAATTTTTTCAAAAATTAAAAAATTGTTGAAAAAATTTTTTTTTTAGATATTTTCGAAAATCCTTCTGTCTGATTTTTGGTATTCGTGACCGTAATACACCTACAAAATTTTATCAAAATCCGTCAAGACATGTAAGAGAAAATTTGTCCACAAGAATCGGTGACATACACACACACATACATCCGGACATTTGTTCCTCTCGACGAATTATATATACTACACTTGAAAATTTGTAAAAATAATTGATTCTAAAAAATTCGGAAATCGATATCACTATAAGGCTTCCTTTATGAGGAAGCAAAATGAACCAAATTAATTTAAATTGACAATTTTAATGTAATAAAATATTTTTTAGGTATTATTTATAACAGATATTAATTACGAGGTAAAAATGGGTGCTTAAAAAAAATCATATATTTTGAGGTTATTGGGGATTTAAAATTGCAATGCGACACATAGTGACCATAAAGTGAACTAAAAAAAATGGCTGCTGTGGGTGTACAAGGTTGAAAAAAATGTTAATATTTAAAGTATTCTAATGTTTAAGAAATATTTGTTAAGATTGTTGTTCATTATTTATCTTTTTATTGAAAAACTACTTAAAATTAAAACCGAAAAGTCACAATTTAAGTTTATATTTTTTTAAATTTGTACACTCGTGCTCATTAATGCCTTCCCTCAGGGAAGGCACTAATTTCACGAACTTTGCCTACACTGAGAGAAATGGATAGTCAGATTTTGATGTTAAAAAGATGATGTTACACGATACTATCATTATGCTACTCCCAACCATCCCAGATGCTAAAAAAAATATAGTTATGCTACCCCGTACTACCAAGATGTTACTCCTGATGATATTGATGGTAACGGTGACTATCTAGATAGCTGTCTGTATACGTAGCATTAAAGATGGTCACCCTAACCACAATTATGTTACCCACTACTATAAATTTCTCTCCGTGTATACCATCTATATTGTATAAAAAATCAGCCAATGGAAAAGTAAAATTCCTATGGAATTATTGGCACGAACTATAAAAAATATAGAAAGTGGGCAAAACGCGTCAAATTAGTGCCTTCCCTGAGAGAAGGCATTAATGAGCACGAGTGTACACCCATTTCGTCCATTTTTGGTGTAAAACACTAGCGACACCGAGCCCGCGGTGGTAATTTTCATTGCCAATAAAATGTGTTATGAAAAAGTAATGGAAAAAGGTCAACATTAGGCCTTAAATGTGATAACATTTTATAACCTCAAAATATATGATTTTTTTTAAAGCACCTAATTTACCTCGTAATTAATATTTGTTATAAATAATACCTAAAAAATATTTTATTACATTAAAATTGTCAATTTAAATTAATTTGGTTCATTTTTATTTCTTATTTTAAATTTTTTATTTAGCAACAATCACATCATCGAATCACCGAACCATCGAACGTGTTCCTATAGGCCAACGCAGAATAGATCTGTAACCGGAACCGCAATCGTAAGCGTTACCGTAAGAATGAGTTAAAGAAGGATAGGTATATTGTTTATCCTTCTCTAACTCATTCTTACGGTCACGCTTACGATTGCGGTTCCGGTTACAGATCTATTCTGCGTTGGCCTTATGTTTCACAAGCTAAAACGACATTAGCAGAAACAGGTTTCCTCTCTTCGCCTCGTGGCGCGTAGCCGTAAGCTTCCGTACAGGTACGACCAGGGATGGGTTTTGACGCGTCACTCGAGGTTTTATACGTATAATACATTTTCGACGTATTATACGTATAAAACTGTATAAAACTAGGTAAAATACATAACCATGATGGCAGACTTATTTTGACATATTAACCCTCTTTACCATAACCTCAAATGTTTGTTATTTATTATTTATATTCCCATTATTCCTATATTTAAATTTTCAAAAAAAATTTAATTCATAAAAAAAGTTTTGCACTACTATGACACTAGTGAATATAGGTTATGTTTTATGCTTATTTATACATATATTACTGTGACGGCTATGATTAAATTTCTTGATTGAATGATTAAATTTTTTTTGATTAAATTAAATATGTAAAGATTTTAATTAATAAACATTTTATTTTACTATTAACAAAACGATAAAAATTTTGTTAATTTAAAAACTAAGAAATTTCAAAATACCACCTTTCAGTTACTGAGTTACGTCATCACATGTAATATACATAATGTAGAAAACCTAGGACGTAATATACGTAGTATTATACATGTATAAAACCACGTATTATACATCATGTATTATACGCACCCATCCATTGGTACGACCGACGACGTCGAAAACACCCGCAATATTCGAACGCAAGCATGTAAACACAGCTTTAAACTCTATTCTGATTTGGCCTTTCCAACCCTGTAATCTTCATGCCTGTAATACATAGAATAGTTCTTTTCATGAGTCGATTTTGTTCATGCTTGTATATCAAGATGCACATGTGCGATTGTGGTGCGATTAATCCGGCTGTCAGTCTAAATTAAATATTTTACATCATTCTCTGTTTAAAAGGTATTTTATTATTTATTTATACTATACTAACACTTATACATTAATTAATGCCTGTGTAACTGAAAATATCCTTTTCTATAAACAAATTATGTTAATTTTGTATGTAATTTAAGAGTAATAGCTTTTCAAATTTAAAGGTTAGTTTCAATATTATTTACAGTAGGTATCGAATACTTTATAAAGATAATTATGGACAGTGAAATTACAAAATCTCATTCAATAGAAGATGTACAAAAGAGTAAGGACGATGTGCTTGATAAAGTATCTGAGGAATTAAAAAAGGCCGTTTTGTTAAAAAGTGCTCCACTCCCTTCTGCCACACCGGTAGTAAAAGGTAAATAAATAACATCTTTCAATTATAAAGTTTAATATAATTTTAATTTATTATTATCTACGAGAAAAACTTGAGTGAATAATATTTCTAATTTCAGACATGAGTTAAACATTTTGAATTTACGTCAAAAAGAAAGAAATGTGATTATTATTTTATGCTAAAAAATTAATTTAAACTAGCAACACTAGTTTAGGCTGGCTTCTCACTCCCTTTTTTTTAAATAAAATTAGCAATTTAAAAAATAATAGAACGTAAAAATTTATAATTCAAATTTTTTTTATAAAAATAAAGTACGAATTGGAATATATAGTATTAAAATTATTATAATTATAATAATTAGGAATTCAGGGAAAAGTAAAGAATTTTTATTAAAAGTACTGAAAAAATTAAATTTTTAGAATTCATAAGAATATTTTGAATTATTGTCTTTTTTGTTTGACTCATAAACTATAAACAGGGTGGCCACATGTCAGTAAAGTCAGGGAAAAAAAATATTTTGTCAGTAAAGTCAGGGAAATGTCAGGAAAAAAATTTTTTGTCAGTAAAGTCAGGGAAATGACAGGAAAAATTTTTTTGTCAGGGCAATTAAAGAAGAAGGGAAATGTCAGGAAAAACAATTTTTTGTCAGTAAAGTCAGGGAAATGTCAGGAAAAATTTTTTTGTCAGGGCAATTAAAGAAATTAAGACGGTCATGGAATACATTTTTTGCTCTAAACAAAAAAATTTTTGTCAGGGAAATTCGTTGTTTCAATTAGAAATATTATAAAATTTCAATGTTGAATGAATTTAATTAGAAATTTTAATGAACTTCGATTTTTGAAAAAATTTAATAATTCCAAATCTTCTAAAATTAGTTAAATTTGTCAATATATATTTAATTAATTATTAAAAATAATGGGTTTATAGAAGAATTTTAGTTAAAAACACTTCAAAAAATTGAATTTTGGAGACGTTACAAATGATTGGAGAAATTCAATTATTTTCAAAAGTAATAATATTATTATTACAAAATTCAATTATGTTCAAAATTTACAAAAATATCTCGACAAAATACCAATTATTATATTTGTAAATTAAAAAATTCATCTTCTTCAAAATTCAATTATTTTCAACAAATTTCCCCATTTCAATGATTTTCAATATCTACTATTTTAATAAAATTACCCAAAAGAATTCAATTATTTAAAAACCATTTTAATCAAATTGTATGCAAACATTCAGTTATTTTCATAAATAATAAAAAATTTTCTGAAATTCCATTACTTTCATAAATAATAAAATTCTTAATTTTAGGAAACATTCAATTGTTCAATAAATTATTTATTCTTGTATTTAAATAATTAAATTCTCGTAGAATTTTCTAGTAAAACTTGATTTTAAAATAAATTTTAGTTTAAATTTTAGATAATAATTGGCAATGAAAATTACCACCGCGGGCTCGGTGTCGCTAGTGTTTTACACCAAAAATGGACGAAATGGGTGTACAAATTGAAAAAAATATAAACTTATATTGTGACTTTTCGGTTTTAATTTTATGTAGTTTTTTAATAAAAAGATAAATAATGACTTACAATCTTAAAAAATATTTCTTAAACATTAGAATACTTTCAATATTAACAATTTTTGCAACCTTGTACGCACCCACAGCAGCCATTTTTTAGTTCACTTTATGGTCACTATGTGTCGCATTGCAATTTTAAATCCCTAATAGAATATGAAAATAATTTTTAAGAAGTTACAGTAACAATATTCTTATAATATAAAATAATTATTTTAACACTCGATCCTCTTTAATGATTATAAAACATGAAGAAATCGATCAGTCCGCTCGGAGTAATCGTTTACTTTATGTTTTATAACAATATTTTTAAAGTGGATTAATTTCAAAAAGGTTTGAATTTAAATTTTTTGAAAATCTTAATTCCTATAGAAAAATAATAATAATTAAATAATTAAAAATATTTAAAAAAGAAATTATTGTTTTCGAATAATTTTACAATTAAAGATATTCGTAAATAAATTTAACAGAACATTTTTTCAATAAAATTTTTTTTCTTTTCTAAAAATTTTCAGTTTTATTTTCAATTAAATTTTCTAATTGACAAATTTAATTATTTATAACAAACAAAATGGGTATATTTTTTTTGTTAATCATAATTTTTAAAAATTTTTCTAATTTCTAATATTATTTTATTATATAAATTATGAAAAAATACCTGCATATTTTCGATTTGTCAAACAATATTTTTTAAAGAAAAAAAAACAAAAGCATACCCAAAAATTAACTTCAAACTGCGGACAGAATGAATGAAAGAATATGAAGATTATTATTGGGATCTCTTTTGGGGGCGTGGCTTAATAATTTGACCTACTCTCAGTAGTACCATTTTTCGACACTGCGTTAAAAAGCTACTCTGGTTGGTGGAAGCTGGACAAGTTTAGACAAAACGACCTACTGTCAAACACGCATAGAAAGGGTTTGCTGTGGCAGCGAACATTTTGCTGCCACAGCAAACCTTGTTCGTTGAAATAGGGACAGCGAAAAAGTTCGCTGTGAGATCAAACAAGTTCGCTATGACAGCAAACTCGACTAAATTTTTACTAATGTTTGCTGTCACAGCTAACATGTTCGCTGCCACTGCAAACTTCCGTGAAGGTTACAAAAATTTTTAACAGAGAGCGTCTCACGGTACAAGAGATCCCAATAGTTAATGATTAATAGAACAGTTTGATAAAATATCCAAGTGCTGCTTATTATTTTCTTTCATTATAAAACAAAATCATTTTTGTAAAATATGAACCTCGCAAATTTTATTTAAAGTATATGTGTCACTGAATAAGAATATGACAAAAATTTTTTTTATTTGGTTAAACCCATAAAAAATAATATAAGATACACTGTAAAAACAAAGTCTTCCTTTAAGCCAGAAATTTGTCTTTTTTCAAGGTGTAAACGGAAGTAGACCATATTGGCTGAATGTCAGTAATGATTAGAAGTTTAAAAAGAATACTCCCCAATTGATACAAGTGAGGTGTTAAATGAACTGAAATTCAACTGTAAGCTAGTAAGAAGGCTAAAATTCAGCCAAACCATCTAGCCAAATTTCAGCCTTCTTACAAGCTTACAGTTGAATTTCAGTTTATTTAACACCTTACTTGTATCAATTGGGGAGTCTTCCGTTTACACCTTGAAAAAAGACAAATTTCGAGCTTAAAAGCGGTGTCAAAGTCGATGCGATTTTTCCATTGAAGCTCAATGCAAAAATCCAATCGACTTTGACACCGCCTTAAAGAAAGACTTTGTTTTTACAGTGTATGTTCATATTCTTGAATTTTATTAAAATAAACATATGTCACATTTAATTTCTTATAACAAACAACAATTATTAAAACTATCAGTGGAAATTTCTCTCTTTAAGATAAAGAATTAAATGTTAATGCACATATATATTAGGTGAAATTCAGATTATAAAATGTTTATAAACTTGTTTATAATCGAATTAAAATATTAACATACTAATAAAACTAAACTTTCTGTCTAAGATTCACCAATTATAAATATAATTTATGGACTTATATATTATTAATAAAACACGAGTCAAAAGTAAACCGGCGACGCGACGCGCTATTCAGACTTTTCACGTTTGCAAATTGCGTCCCTTGTGACGTCACAATCAACTTTTTCAGCCTCGCCAGACTTACAGTCAGCTGTTAGCGTACCTTATTAGAAGTTAATTTCATCTAACTTTTTATTTTTTTTTTATTGTTTATACTCCTGCCCTATTGGCCTTACGCACTTCGACAAGAGTCCCCGAGAAATACTTTTTTTTGGATTAAGCATAACCATTCTACTTTAGAAATTTTTTCTATATATTAACCTAATTTTGCGTCTACAGCCGACTTTATTAGGAGTACTCGCATTACGCCTGGACCACCCGTCAATGGGTTTTCTCGCCAGAGAAGAGGGAAACTGTAGAAAACCTCTCTGAGTACAACCGGTTTATCGACAGTCGAGTTCTAATGGTGTGTACCGGACAATAATCGACGGTGCACATCATTATACGTCAACGTCAAACCTCCCGCTCAGATTGTCTCACGTGCCGGAAAAATACCAAGCCAAGTGGGCGCGAACCAAGGGTACTTATACCCTTGGTCCTTAAACGACCACCAACGCCAGGCATCTATCCGACTGAGCCAATCTGTCGGTCTAACTTTTTATTAATACCATTGGATCTGAAATTAAGTCCGGTGTATTACAAATAAATTACAAACTGAGTTTTATTTAAGTAAGAGTACAACTAACTTTAATTTTCAGTTAGTTTTTATGATTAAATAAAGTTGATAGCTTAAGATAATTAAAAAATTAAAAGTAGCCACTATTAAATTTAAGACTTTGTTTTTACTGTGTAAATAAGAAAAGGACATTTTTTAGCATTTTTTCCAAGTAGACCGAAAATTTACGAATACGATACGACTTTAGTTTGGAGGATCTGCATTTCCAACTCGGGCGTGCTGAGCGCCCAAGATGCGGCTATTGCAGTCTCAAGGTTTTGAGTCTCAAATCTTGGGTGTTCAGCGCCACCGACATGGGAACGTAGATTTCCCGAATTGAGAACGCAGCACATCCAAACTATAGTTCCTCCACTTTCTGACGATTGGGATTGCACGGTACTCAAAATTTTTTCAGTGTAGAATCCGCGCCGGTTGAATTGGAGAGTCAATACCAGTGCAGGCAGTCTGTACCGATTCGGATGAGAATGTCTGCTGGCGCGGTACAAAGTCGGATCCGACTTTCGGTACAGCCTTTCTACTGTCGGCAGTACAGGCGCGGTACAGGATTTGATCCAACCGCCGGATCAAAATTTATACCACCTCGCAACCGGCGTTGTACTGGCATTCGTCTGTCTAACGACCCGAGCGGTACAGACATTCTACCGACTGAGGACTATATAATTTATTTTTATTATTAATATATTAATTAATTTAATTTACTTACTTAT